GCAGGGCCCAAGAGGTACATGACAGGCGACAGTCATACGAAATCACCTTGGACGGTTTGGACTGAACCTCTGTTGGTCGCGACCCCGATCAGCTTTCAACCTTTCCTACCCATCTACTTCCTGATTGACCTAGGTCGGGCAAGGGAGCCGAAAGCGGCCCTGGCAGCAGGTGGTCTTGCCAGGTTTTTGCCCTTGCGTCTGCAGCCGGACATGCTCGGCACTCGCATGCTGATATGTGGCTCGTTTTCGCCGTCTCAAACCTCAGGGGAATGCTACAGTAGAAGGAATAAGGGTATCAAGCTGTGGCACGGATGCCACGAAAGCGCCCGGCGGCGGCAACGACCCCCAGGCATTACTGGGACGTTGAAAGTGACGAGCTCGACTCTCTCTCTGCTCGCTTCTGGGCAGATACCTCCGAGGAGGAGCCTGGAACTGCAGCAAGTGCTGCCGCAAGTGCAGGTCCTGCAGGACCTACGACGCCGACTTCGGTCGACATCCCACCGGGAGCCTCAACATCCCCCAACGACAGGGGCGAGGCAGCCGAGAGCGACAGTGCGCCGATGTCACCAGTCTCGCCAATGTCAAGAGCTGAGATGCGGGACGGGACCCGCCGGCTCCTAAAGATGGAAGGCGAATGGGACCTCCACCGCCATGCCCGGTGCGACATCCGAATGATCACACAGGCTCTAGGCAAGTGGAGCGGCCCCCAAGAGGAGGTGCCGAGGCGAAGCATCGCGGTCGAGGTGGGCCCTTGCCGAGGGCAGAGATGCCGCACTCAACAGCAAACCCCAAGGGCTTGCCTGCTGTGGCAAAGGCTGGCCCCGGACCGCCGACAGAGCTGGGAGCTGGAGCTGCCGCTATGCTGGCTAGGGCCAAGGCGGCCGCGGCTAGCCTCCCTGAGTTGTGTGCTGGCCCCGGACTACCGACTGAGCTGGGAGCTGGAGCTGCCGCTGTGCTGGCTGTGGCCAAGGAGGGCGCAACACCGACTTCTACGACTCCCCCCACTCCCCTGCGAAGGCCGATGGCTGAGACGAAAGCAGCAAGCGTGGACTGTGGGTAGGGAGCCGACCTCAACGGCCCCTTCCTCCTCCTCGGAGCCGACACCCGGCCCATGGCTGCCGCCCACAATGGGACCCTTTGGTCCGGTCTGGACGCCCTTTCACGGCCCGCCCCCTCCCGGCAGAGCCTCCGGAGTCTCGACAGCCGGC